GGCGCCGCCCCCCGTCGTCGTCGCCCTCCTCATGCTCCTCATGCTCCTCGTCCTCCTCCGCCTGCATCTGTTTTTCCTGGCCCGCCATCGGCGACGACGCTGGTCGTCCTCCTGCTCCTCCTCCCATGGGTCATTCTATCGTTGCCTGCCTCCAACGGCAGCGGCACTCATCCTCCTATTCCTGTTCCTCCTGGCTTCACAAGGCTTCTGTTTCATCCTCCTCCTCCTCCTCCTCCTCCTCCTCCTCAGGCGCGTGTGGCGACGACGACGAGCACGGCGACGGCGACGGCGACAACGACGACGACGACGGCGATGGGCCTCCCTCTCCTCGTCCGCATCTCCTGGTGCTGCCGCTGCTACTGCTCTCCTCTTCCTCCTCCTCCTCCTCCTCCTCCTCCTCCTCGATTTCCTCGCGACCCTCCTCTATGCATCATCCCTCCCCTTCGCCCTCCATGATCAAGGGCCTCCTCCTCCATTCCCAGAACCCCCCATTCCCCATGACCAAGGGCATCCTCCCACATCCTACATCCTCCTCTTCCCACATTCCCCCGTCCTGCAACATGATGTATGCAAACACGCCGCCTTCCTCCACCGAGGAGAAGCCGAAACCGAAACCGAACACGAAGACGACGAAGGCGACGGTGACGGGGCAACGTCGACGGCGCTCACGACGACGAAGACGACGACTAAGATGACGGCGACAGGGCGACGACCAAGGCGGAGACGAAGACCCAGTCGACAACGACTAGGACAACGACGCCGAAGTCCTAGGCCTGCGGCTACTGGAGCTCCTGCTCTTGCTGTAGCGCCTCATCGGTGGGCTCGTCGAACTCCCCTGTGGCGGGGCCACTTCGTTTCTGTTTTCTCTTTTTGCTTGTCGCCCTCCACATTGGTTTCCCGCTCCCCCTCCTCCTGTTGCTCATTATCCTCCTCAGCTTCCCCATTCATCCTCCTCTTCCTCGCCCCCCTTTCCCCTCCTCTCCCCCCCTTCCCCTTATCCTCCTCTTCCTCCTCCTTCCCCTTCTAATCCTCTTCCTCCTCATCCCCTTCTTTCTCCTCCACCTCTCGTTCCTCCTGCTCCTCGTCCTCCTTTCTCTGGGGGCATGAGTGGACGGAGAAGGGGAGGAGGGGGATGGGGGGAACAGGAAAACCATAATAAACCCAACATGCATCAACGATGAAGCAATACACCTTGCCGTCCCAAGCCCTCTCCTCACAAGTCCCTGCACGCCTTCCACCCCAATACAAGAAACGCCATCTTGCAAGACCAGCACCCTATGGCCCTGCCATTCAGGCGAGAGCTCCACTTTGAAAAGGAATCGCCTTGCCTTCTGCTGGCGGTTAAGAGGGATACAAAAGGCGCGTCGTGATCATACAAGTCAACGAAGTGTCCAGCAACATCCCCACGTTTCCCGAACTAAACTGCCAGCAGTGGTTAGATGTGCATGCATATAAGTATACAAGCGCGTAGTTGTAGTCTGGCCAGAAGGTGCCACTGCGGCGCGAAACGTTAACTTTCCTGTTGTTGCGAACCGGGTTCGAACCTGTTCAGAGCCTGCTTTTCGAATAAGTCCCACAGGACACGCTCACTTTCTATGGTTTCGAACAGAGTTCGAACCTGGCTTTAACCCACTGTTCGATGAAGTCCTGCACGAAACGCTCACCTTCTACTGTGTCGAACCGACCTTTACTGTTTCGCACCGGTTTCCAAACCTTGTTCGGACCTTTTTGGGAAAACGCTCCACGTAGCTCGCCGACTTCAAACCGCCATCCGCTTAGCCGCAAAAGAATTCAATTGGGGTACAAACAAGCCCGAAGTTGCCCGCCCCCCGCCGGCACTGCTCCACTCCCGTCACGTTGCACCAAGCTCCGCTCGCCGAGCCGGAAACCTCCGATCCACGCTGCGTCAACACGACAAACAAATGTCGGCCTGTGAGGAGGAGGCGGAGGAGGAGGGGGGAGAGAAGGAGGAGGAGGAGGAGGAGGAGGAGGAGGACTACTACTAATACTCCTCAAGGGGGGGCTATCTCTTCTGAGCCGATCTGGAACCACCCTAGGAACGACCTACGGCCGAGATTTTGGGCCTCCAGCCCACCCGTCGGTTCCCTGGGTTTCGGAACCCAAACCTACCGACCACGACCCCTCGCAGCTGGCACGAGGGGAAAGGGAGAAACCAGCGAGACAAGAGCCAGCACGCAGGCAGCGCAGCGGAGGAACCCCAACGAAAGCGAGAGGGAAGGCGAGAGGAGGGAGCCAGCAAGAACGCGCGGCACAGCAGCAGCACGGAGGTGTGGCCACTCCCACTGTCACTTGTCACGAGGGCGTTTGACGGATAAAATATTTAAAATAGAACTGCTCACCGCGTCCCCCCACCCGACATTCCGAAAATGTCCCTGGATTTCCTCAGGATCGGTGGGGGGGCGCTTCCTAGTCTCGCAACGACCAGGCCGATTCGGGGGGAGGTGGAGGCTCGTCGGAGGCAGAGGTGGGAGAGGCTGCGCAGGCCTGGGAGCTGCGGCAGAGGCGGACAGCCTGCTCAGACCTTGTTCAGCGTGTGCTCCACGGTCATCGCAGCCGTGATCCGCAGCATCTGGCGCTCTAGCCGCTGGGTGTGCGCGCTCAGGCTGGTCAGAAGGCTGGTCGGCTGCATCTGGTACTCTGTCTGCGTCGCGACCGTCCACTGCGGCAGCAGCTCGCGCTCTCGATTCCCCATCAGGAGTGATCACATGCGTTGGTGCCTCCCTATGTGCAATGTCATCGCGGCGATCCCAAACTTCCTTGCCCCCGTCAAAACTGGTCTTCGGATTTCCTTCCGGCCCGATGTCGGGCTCCTTCCAGACCGTCAAAACAGGTCTTCGAATTTGCTTCCGGCCCGTCAAAACTGGTCTTCAACCTTCCTTCCGGCCCGAGTCCATCGCGCATCGTCCAGGCACGCGTTGAGGATCCTCTCGAGGCGGCTCATCGGCGCAACTCCCTGTTTCAGCACCCCGCCGAGCTGCTCCAAGCAGGCGAAAAGCGGTCCAAGCTCGGGCACCTTCACGATCGTCAACTTCGCGTCCGACTCTTCTGTCCGCCGCCACGCGTAACGGCATGTATCCGATTGCTTTCTTCAGCGCAGCCAGGTCCATGTTCTTGCGGCCGACCTCGACCCCTGCCGCGTCACAGCCCTCGAAGATGCCGACCGGCGCCGCGCGCGAGGTCGTGCTGAGCTTCGTCTCGATCTCGTCCTCCTTCTTCCTGAGCCTCATCTCCTGCGCCTGCTCGATCCACGCCTTGACCCTGGCCCTCGCGCGTACCACTGGCAAGCTGTTGGCCCCGATGATCATCGTCGCGAGCGTCACCGCCTCCACCTGTCTGGTCCGCATCGCGGGATTACGAACCATCTTGGTCAGCACGGGGACCAGGGTGCGCAGCTGCTCCACGTCCATCTTCTCGAAACTGTCGAGCTCCTCCTGCGGCGCAATGCGGTTGTTCTGGTTGCGTCCTCGCGTCTGCCCTGCTGGCGCCTCTGCCTCCGCGGGGCGCGCCGCGCCCGCTGGCGCCGCGCCCGACGCGCCCGCCGCGGCGCAGTAGGCGGGGCAGCGGCAACCCCCACCGAAACTCTGGTAGAGGTCGGGGCAGGTGCGTTGCAAGATGTGCCTGGAGATCCTCAAGCCGTCCAAATGGCTTTAGACTAAGACACAATGGGCACTGTCTCGTCGTCGCTTCGCGGAGGCGGTGATTGATGGGCGAGACGTCGACGCGGAATCGTCCGCACTGATAGTCGCGTTGTAGGTGGCGAACTGCTGTCTGTCGATCTTTGAGTGCAGGGCGACATACGAGGCATTGGTTCGTCGTCGTCAGGATCTCCGTCGTCGTCCCCCCTCCGCGCTGCCCCCCCTCTGGCTGGCGCCGATGGGCGAGAAGTGCACGTTTTGTCATGGAACGTTTTCCGCGCGGCAGCCCATCCACGTCCATGAGGCAGCGCTCGCAGTCGCCGTCGGCCCGCTCGCCCTCCTCGGGCGGCACGGCGTTCGGCTCGTGGCCCCTCGTGCGCGTGAGCCACTCCCCGCGGAACTGGCGGACGTCCAGCAGGATGAAGGCCGCGTTGGCATCGCGCTCCTGGTCGAACATGCGGATATAGGCGCCCTCCAGTATGTCCACCACCTCCTCGCCCTCCTCGGTCTTCTCCATGCACTCGATGTCTTCGTAGAACTGGCGCGCCCACGGGTTGGGCGTTGCTGCGCTCGGCCGTGTCGCCGCCGCTGACGGGAACCAAGTGAAGGCATATCCCTGTGGAAGCTCCATCTCCAGGTCGCCGAAGACTGCTGCCAACTGTGGCTTGTGCCATTCAGGTCGCCTCGCCACGGCTTGCCATTCTTTAAGTCGCCGCACTCGTAGTTCCGCTGCCGTCGGTACCATCCCCAGTCGTGGCCAGATCTGCGCCCCAAGTAGCGTGCGGAATACTTCACGCGTGCCTCCGTTCCCGTCGTCAATAGGGACGCGGACAGCGACGATTCCCAAGAGTACTCGCGCGAACATCAGGGACAGTCTGTCAGGCTTGTCCGTCAGCGCGTCCGTGAGGACGAGCGCAGTTAATCCCATGGTAGCAGCTCCTATGACCATGCCCCTGAAGGCGATCTCATTGATTTCCACTGCTTGCACTCCGTCCAGAACTTCTTCATGCAGCACCATCCTCGGCGCGCGGCTGCGCAGCTTGCCTCGACCTCCGCCCAGTTGAGCCCGTTGCGCGTGAAGACGGTGCCCAAGAAGGGGGCCTCCTGCACGACCTGCCCTGGGATGTCGCCGCCCATCATGTCGTAGAACATGCACTTGTTGCAAGTGTTGGCGCCGGGCCGGCGCAGTGCGGCACGACCTGCTTCTTGCCTTGGCTCTGCACAACGCCCAGTCCCTTCAGTGCGGTGTCCAGCCGCCTATCCGAATACTGGATGATCTCGCCGGTGTGGAGGGGGTCGAGGGCGCGGTGGGTCTCGTTGACGTCGTCGGCGAAGGCTCTGGGCGAGAGGTCCACGAGCTCGTCACTGAAGGGGCAGCAGGCTAGGCTAAGAGCTTGTTGGGGCCCTTCTCTTGGAGGAGCTGCTGCCAGTACTTGATCGGGACCGTGAACGCCTCCTGGGAGACAGTCGCCGCGTTGGACTCCCAGTGTAGTTGCCCTCGCTGTTCTGCATCACGATGGTCTCGCCCGCGGCCTCGATCTTGAAGCATGCGCGGCGGTGGCGCTGTAGAAGGAGCTCTGCGTCGCACTCTCGACATAGCCGCCGAACTGCGCCGTCGAGCTGCGGATGGCGAACCGAGGCGAAGGCGTTCTGCATGTCGTGTTTCGTGTCCACCGTCGAGATGCGATGTCTTCGCATCCGCCAGCCTAGGCATGCCGTGGTGCGAACGGCGCCCGTGCGGGATCGCGACGGCAGGTAGTCGTAGTCGTGGTCAGGGACTTCTCGTTCACGGCGTTGAGCGGTGCGTATCCCTACTTTGCCAAAGGAGCAAAGGCCGTGCAAGAGCCTCATGGCCTTGGTGCCGTCACGCCCGTTCTGCTTGTTCACCTGGTAGGACTGGGAGATGTTCCAGTAGGCGACTAGTCGCTGGTCTTGGCGAACCTGTGCCAGTACTCCCACGAACCAATGCCGCAGATGTGGAAGATCCTGTAGTGGCTCGCCTGCGCCCCGTCGTGCGTTCTGTACTGGCTGGGCGCGCTGAAAGTAGTAAAGACCAGATCTCTGTTGGTACTGACCACGCTACTGGGGCTCGTCTCCTCTTCGTCCTGCGCAGCGCGAAGCAGATACGCTGGTAGTCCTCGGCACCCTCCTCCAAGTCCTGGTAGCTGGGCGGCGCGTT